ACCGCGAGCAGCTGGTGACCGAGGGACGGTGTAAGCACGAGCCCTGGTTTTCTCCGCACTATATTTAGAACGGCACAGAAAATCCCATCCTTTGGTGTTTCCACCTGTTCAGACGTCCCGGAAGCTCCTCCACTCCGTCCGCCCACACCTCCCCCTTGCTGGGCCCTGCCCTGGGTCCCGTCTCCTGGCAGCTCCCGAAGTCTCCTGGTGGCCCTCCCAGGCCTTCCAGCAGCCAGCCTGTCACTCCCCGCTTCAATTCCCTCATGAGCTCCAAGCGTCCAAAGGGATTCACACCAGAGCCCCGAGCTTCGTAGGCTAGGGGCTTTTGCTCCTGCACCCCCTGCCCCCCTGGTAACTGCTTCTAAACTTTGGGATCCAGCAGAATCCTTAGGCTCAGATTTCTACCTAAATAAAACATAAGCACGTGATACTGTGTGTCCACTCTTTGCGCGTATGGTCTCCTCCACCTGGAACCGTGGTTCTTAACCTCGGCTGCACGTTAGAACCACCTGGGGTGATTCCAAAAGCCTCGCTGCCCCTAGACACATCAAAGACCTCAGAAATTCAAGTCTCTGTGGAGAGAGGGCCCAGGTGTCGGTATTTTCCAGGACTCCCCAGTGACTGTCAATGGGCAGTCGAAGTGAGAACCTCTCCACACCCTTTCTTTTCTTGGGGGGCTCCCACCCATCCCACAAGACCCAGCCACCCTGCCAGCGCTCCAGGCATCGGGGAGCCCGTGTACCTCTGAGGCACCGTGCCCTCTTCGGCACACTGGACTTACAGGCTTCCTCTGTTCCAGTCTCCATCCACATCACTTTCCGGCCTCACTGGGTGGTGGTCCTCGCCCCCAGCCTTGGCCACCAGTCTCAGAGTTCCAGTGGCCACTCCGCTCGGTCCTCTCCACAGGGATGAGACCCAAGAGTGCCCCGCTGCTGTGGATACTTTCATGTGGATGTCCTACTATGGGATGTCTAAAACATGTGTGGGGTGATGAATTTTGGATCAGAAACTCCTTCCTTCGTTCAGCAGACACTGGTGAGGTCTCCCCTCTGCCTCAGTCCTGGGCTCCACACAGCGGATGAGCAGTCGGTGGGGGAGAGCAAGGGACTAACACGACACGGTAAGGCGCTCTCCTCCAGAGGACGGAGCTACCAGTGGGGATGCTGAACGCTATTACGCAGAGGAGCACCTAACAGGGGATGCCTACTTTTTCTGGGGGACACAGGTCACTCTACCATTAGGACATCAGCTACCGTGTCCATGAGTTTGTGCTTGTAGAGCAACGGACCCAGGGCTAACGCACGGTTAGGAACGTTAACCACTGCCGACTGATGATGCTAACAAAGACCTCTGCATCAAAACCTTACGAAACAACGGGATGGATAAGATAGACGGGGGACGCGGTTAGACCCAGAAGACACACAAAGTAGAAACGGTTGGGAAATGCTCTTTCTGGGCCAGCCTGGAATTGTGCTGTGGAAGAGGAGCTGGCTACCGGCAAGGTCCTTTCTCCGCTCCCTTCTTACTGAGCCCTGTTCTGTTTGTACCAGCGGATACGTAGCGAACACATGAGACTTCCCTGCCTTCCTTGCAGCTAGCGGTGGCCGTGTGATGCAGCGCTGGCAGATGAGACCCAGCTGGAATGTGCCAGGAGCTTTCCTGGTATGAGCCCAGCCCCTTCCTCTGTGTTGCGGCCCACGTCTCCTTCCTGCTTGGAACGTGAGGTTGGAGCTGGTACCCACAGGCACAAAAGCCACAAGCTAAGAACAGCTGAGCAAAACTGCAGAGGGAGCCCTGGGCAGTGGTGGCACAGTGGTGTCCACGTGGCGGGGGAGAAAAGATACGTGTCTTGTTCAGGTACGACGGTCAGGCCTCTGTTGCGTGACTGGCAGGAGTGTTTTCGTGCAATGAGAATGCGCCCCCTTGGCTACAGAGCCTCAGAACCCTCACCTCTAAAACAGTCAAAATATCAGTCGTTAAGAGGGAGTAGAACAGGGGCGCCTGGGTGGCTCAGTCGGTTAAGCGTCCGACTTCGGCTCAGGTCACGGTCTCATGGTTCGTGGGTTCAAGCCCCGCGTTGGGCTCTGTGCTGACGGCTCAGAGTCTGGAGCCTGCTTCGGATTCTGTGTCTCCCCCTCTCTCTACCCCTCCCCCGCTCATGTTCTGTCTCTGTCTCTCTCTCAAAAATAAATAAACGTTAAAAAACTTAAAAAATAAAAAAGGAGTAGAACGTACGAAAAGTGCCTAGCGCAGAGCTTGATGCACAGCTGGTCCTGCTCAGAGCCTTGGAGGCCCCAAGGTGGGGACACAGCTCACCAGCTGGTCTGCATGGTGGCTGGAGGGGGTTTCGGGGTGGGCAGAGTGAAGGGGAAGAAGTTTCCACCCTCTGCTGGGCCCTCTACATGCATTCTCTCCCAACAACCCTTGGTGTATTACAGCACTGCCTCACCCATTTGGTGGACGAGAAAACAGAGGCTTGGAATGGTTCAGTAAGGCCTCTGCGATCTTGGAGTCACAGTCTAGCGGGGACAGGGACCCAGGTATTGTTTGCGCCTGAGCCCTCTTGCTGTCTGGGGTGAAGGTTCTAACAGTCTGGGGTGACGATGCACGGGAGTGCAGGATGGCAGTGTGCTTGAACACATGGGGGCTGCGGCCTCACCCTGGAGAGACCATGAGCCCTTGAACAGTCTTTCTCAGCCCTGCATTTTTAAACCCTTTGTGTACCTCCAGCTGGCCCAGTAAATGCCTGACATTCTCCCCACCTATGCTCCATTTAAATTTAAAAGTTACGTTGGAAAGAATGAAGGCTGTATATGTCCCTGCATGTATTCATGCCTGGTATATCATCCGTATCTTGTCATAAAGGAGGCCAGGCTTTAGAATCTACATTCTGGGGGCGCCTGGGTGGCGCAGTCGGTTAAGCGTCCGACTTCAGCCAGGTCACGATCTCGCGGTCCGTGAGTTCGAGCCCCGCGTCGGGCTCTGGGCTGATGGCTCAGAGCCTGGAGCCTGTTTCCGATTCTGTGTCTCCCTCTCTCTCTGCTCCTCCCCCGTTCATGCTCTGTCTCTCTCTGTCCCAAAAATAAATAAACGTTGAAAAAAAAATTAAAAAAAAAAAAAAAAGAATCTACATTCTGGGTTCAAATCCCTCCTCCTCCGCATTTCTCAGCAAGAAGGAATAAAGCACAGGTCACTAAGCCCATATCCACTTCTCCAGTCTGCACAAGACCCCGCCATGAAGGCCCATCCACACGGCTTTCTCCTACCAGGGAAGCCACAGTCACTTTCGTCTGTAGATGACCACCCAAGCCACACACACATTCAACTGGGTTCGTTTCTTGAATAAAACACCTCCCCTTTGGCACTTGCCGGAGATATTTCCAATGAGTCCCTGGAAGAAACCGATAAACCAAGGAACTTAAAACAGGTGAATATAAACAACCGGTTTTGAACTATATTTAGAACACCACGGAGAGCTATGCCTCAATCCTAGATGCTATTCTGGAGACAGCGAAAGGTGGGATGTTTCTCGTCTCCTTTTACTCAGAAAAGGAAGCCTTTTTCCAAAGTTCCACAGTCAGGCAAAATAAGTCAGGCACCACAGGTACTCGCTCCCACAGATGTGGCCAAGGGGGAGCTCGTAAGAAGGTAACTTGACTCCAAGGCTCCCAACAGAGACGTGAGACTCTGGTTGGAGGTGTTCAGTGTTTGCAGGGTATAATTAATTATTCTTTGCTTTCAGAATGTCCCTCCGTTGTTCAGTTTGAAGCTGGAGACGATGGTTGCGACAGATTTTAACAGAGACAAAGACAACGGGAAGGAAGGCATTCCTAACTTGGGCCTTCACACACTGTGGAAAGTGCCAAAGTTAATAATGACACCGTCCCCATCGTGAAAATCGGGTTAGTCCTCAAACATCACATCTCAAACAGCCTCACAAATATTACTGGGACCATTTGCAAAGCACCAAAGAACATTACAACGATAATAAGGAAGAATTCAGTCAACAGTCTCAGTTACAAGGACGCTCGCGCATATATGGCTTCAGCAGGGCTCTTGGTAAACCACGTTTGCCGTCTGGTATCCACAAAGTGCCCCAGCAAGCTTCTCAGCGTCTCTCTGAAGAGACATGAAGCCACATGGCTGGATCTGGACCGGGATAATGGATTTCTACATCGCAGTTGTGGAGAAATCACCACGTTCAGTCACAGGGAACGCTTCATTTTAAAGACTGTTCGGCAAAGAAAGATCTAAGCTGGGAGACTTCCGAGCCATGAGGGAAGTCACAAAAACGATGAAGGCGTGCCATATTGAGTTAGGCAATAAACATGGCCTTTTGACGGTTATGGTGGATTTTGTTATGGGGCAAAGGATCGAAGAGTCGGCCTGGGGACGTGTGTGTGTGTGTGTGTGTGTGTGTGTGTGTGTGTGTACATGTGCCTGCCTGTGTATTTAATATGTGTGTGCACGCATGTGTGCGCACGTGCATGTGTGTTTGGGGTTTTCTTGTGTGTGACCGCGTGTCCTTTGAGACTTTTCCTGCTCTCCTGGTTTGAAATGCTTTGTAAACGTCTTGTGGTTAAACTGGGGTTGAACTGTACTTGCACCGACTACATCACATCCATCTGAAGTCCCCTGGGAGAAGACCAGGGCCCATTTTGTACCGAAAGTGCTTTATAAATGCAAGAGAGGATTCCTTGGCCTGGGGCAAGTTCCTATATAAACAGATTCTGACTTTGGTTTCTTTTCAGTGGAGATTTCTAATCAGCCTGCATTCAATCCCAGACTCAACAGAAACTGCTGGTCAGACATCTTTTTTTTGTTTACATAATGATTTTTTTTTTTTTTAACCCAGAAACACTCATGGAGAACATCTCTTCCCAGTGTCACTGCAGGATTCACAAGAGAATAACAGAGGAGGAGAGGTGATAGGAGAGGGGGTTCCCAAACTGTCAGGCACCGGCCGGCAGCGCGGGCCCTGTCCCCCCGGGGGTACTCACCATGGTCGTGGGCGAACACCAGCAGCTCGAGCCCCACCAGCATCTGAGCCAGCTCGTCATAGCGGCCACAGTGCTCCCCGGCTCCATGGGACATAAAGATGAGGGCCCTGCGGGGGTGAGAGGGAGCCCGGTTAGGAAGGTGGTGGACCACTGAGCACAGCTTGAACTTGAGCACAGAGCTTTCGTGACGCCAGTGAGCTGGAGACTGAATCTCCAGCTAAATGCATGAGGGAAAGGGCACTGCTCTAAAATGCTAGGCTTCAGGGCGGGGCGTCTGGGTGGCTCAGTGGGGTAAGCATCCAACTTCGGCTCAGGCCATGATCTCAAGGTTCGTGGGTTCAAGCCTCGCATTGGGCTCTGTGCAGGCAGAGCTTGGAGCTTAGAGCTTAGAGCTTGGAGCCTGCTTCAGAGTCTGTGTCTCCCTCTCTCTCTGCCCTACCCCACTCATGCTTTCTTTCTCTCAAAGATAAATAAACATTAAAAATTTTTTTTTAATTAAAAAAAATGCTAAGCTTCAGGGCTATATGGAATGGAGCTCAAATTCCGGCTCTCCTGTGAACTCTCCGGCCAAGTACCCATCCCACGATGCTTCACTCCTTCGCCTGTAAAACAGTATCTCCCTTGGCGGAGGAGCAGGGCTCGTGAGGGTCAAGGAGCTACTTTATGCCAACGCATTGGGCACAGCGCACGTGGCAACTTCCTCCAAGCCAGCTGCCCAGGCGACCCAGACCTCAACCAATCAGGACACGGCCTGTCTCGGGGACAGGCAGGTGACTCGAGCCAAGCTGGCTGGGTCCCATCAGAGCGGACCCCAGAGCTTTGGCTCAGGTAGGCAGGAGAAGGCACCCTCAGCTTCCCGCCAGGTGTGAGCCACAGAGGCTGTGTGCCTCGAAGGGCTCCAGTCGTCCAGCAAAAACAGAGGATGAGTCAACCCAACAGAAGAGAGCCATGTAAAGAAGGGACCCCACGTCCTGATATTGTTGCTTGAGTCCTGAATCCAGCCCGACCCGAAACCAACATTCTCCCCTATCCCTGCCTTCTGCTATGCTGTTGAGGTAGGTCACTGGGTTTTCTGTACTTGTGAGGAGAAGAACCCTAACTGACATACAGCTCTCCGTGTTTCTGTGTAATAGTTTATTTAAATACCCATCCTTCCACAGGCAGCTGGAATTTGTATTATGTGCGTGCCTTGTATTCTCTTCCCCCCTTATCTGTCTGGCAAACTCCTCCCCTTGCTTCAAGACCCAGCCTGAAGGTTCCCCTCGTCTGTGAAAGGTTTTACAGCCCCCAACTGGCTCTGCGAAGTCTCCTCTCTCCTCGGGGATCCTGCGATCCCTCTGTTAACGCAAGGACGGGCGCTGCTTTCTGCCTCCCTCCACCACCAGTTATGACCTTCTCCAGGACATGCAAAGACGTCATGCCTCCCTTGCTTTTAGCGTTAGTAGATAGCACACTTTGGGGCTCATGGTGGAGATTCTGCAAACGCTGTTTTGAACGAACGAATGAAGGCTGCGAGGGGTTGAAAGAAACGGCTGTATTTTGCACCTATGATCTGTGCAGGAGAAGCCCCGGGATCTGGAAGCAGGGCTCGGCTGGGCACCCCGTCACCCCGGAAAGCCTTCAGTGTGGCAGGGTGACTCTGGGACCCAAACACTAGCACGACCGTGCTGTGACTCATCCCAGCTTCTCCACTAGCCAGAGTCGGCCTGGCCATGGTGGGGGTTGATGAAAGGGCATTTGGATTCTCAAAGAGACAGTTGTCAAGACTCATATTCTTGGCATAAGCCCCATAGGATGCTAGATTCCCCTTCGGGCCAAGCGTGAACGCTGTGAGCAACACCCACCCAGTTTCTGCCAAAAGTGAGGGAGGGGGAGGAGCGGTGGAGAGGGAGTGGGGCGGGGGGAGTAGAGATGGAAGAGGGGGAGAAGGGGGGGAAACAGCTGCCATCTTCCCGAGCATTTATGGTACGTCAGTTCCTCCATTAACCCCACACACGAGATTTCTAACCCTTACAGTTGTCTGAGGCTTTGATTTCTTTGTAGCTGAGAATGCAAATCAGAGAAGTTAAATTTATTGCCCAAGTCACACAGCAAATACAGATCACAGCACGTGACTTCCGGCTTTCAGGCCTCCCACTGGTCAGCCACCGGCGGGCTCAGAGCACAAGTCACCCTGTCCCTTGCCTGCCTCCACACTCCTTATGGCCACCTCCCCCGCTTACCTCCCTGTCCTCACGAGGGGCCGGCAGTCATTCTTTGGCAGCGCCTGGTGCTTCCCGCCTCAGGACCTGGGGCCTTGCCAGCCCCCTCTCCCAAATGCTCGCCCCCAGATCTCCCCTGGTTGCTCCTCACACAGACATCACCTCGAAGAGGCCTCTTCTCCATCCCACCTGGGGTGGCCTCCCTCCCTTGGGCCTTTCTGACCCCCACTGGCCCCTCACCACACAGCACGTTCTGCCATTATTTGCACTGGTTTGTGACCGCACATCACAGTTTGCCCTTGTTTTGCAATTCATTTGCTTTCTTGGTTCCTGGCTCTCTCCTCCACTTCAAGGTTGGCTCAAGAGTCCAGGAGGCGTGTCCACCTTCTTCTGGCGGAACCAGTGCTGTAGCCCAGGCCCCGGTGGCACTGAAGAGGGGCGGGCGGATGTATGTTAAGGGAATGAACACCTCACTCAAAAGCCCGTTTCTTTCGACAGCTCCACTCGCCAGGTTGTGCAGGGGCAGAAGTGCACGGGCTTATTTCACCAAGCTACACGTTTTATTCTTTGAACAGTGTGCAAAATACCAGCGTTAAGCTCATCTGCCTTTGGCATCTGTCCTCCCTGCCCGTTTCCTAAAAGTATAAGAGAAACATTTCACACTGTCTCCGTTGCTCCTCGGAACATCTGGCCACCTGCTCTTGATCAGACGTTAATCTGGGCAGATTACACCTGCCCAGCTGACGCTTCTGGGGTCGGCTGGGGGGTTTCCCCTTAGCTACTGAGGGGCATGGCCGGAACCTCTAAACAGTCCTCTCCCATCTGCAGAAGGGCTTCCAGAAGGGATGACACAAGCACTTTCACATCCTTTGGGGATGCGGCAGCTGCTGTATTAATTCAGACCACAGTTAATGCAGACGAACAAGCGATCGAGCTGGGTCAGCCACCCCCCACCCCCCAACTGCGGTCAGGGCCGGCTTGGTGGGCAGAGGCCTTCAGGGTTTCCCTTAGTGCCCAAAGCAGTGGCATAAGGCACTGTCATTATGCCTGAGATTGCTTGTTAATAGTCTACCTCTGAGATATGATGTGGAAAAATACTTGGCCTCTGACTCTACAGAAATTTCTTCTAATCCAGTGGTTCTCAACTTTGCCAACAGCTTGAAGTCGCCTGGAGTGCTTTAAAAAATGCGGAGGCTAGGTCCTGCCCCCAGAGAACCTCTGGGTTTAACTGGTCTGGGGTAGGAAAAGCTCCCCGGTGGTTCTGACATGCGGAAGCACCTGCAGTCATCACAGTGCACGGCTTGGGCAACCGTACTGCTCAGCCAGTGGCAAGAATGCAGCTAATGGCCTGGAGGCTTACAGCCACTTTGGAGCCACTTATCTGCCCAGGGAACATGCCGGGTAAACCACACGTTCTATCTGTAGAGATATACAGGCTGTCAGAGTTCGCTGCTGCCTTTCCTTTGGAAACAAAGCGAACTGACCTACTGCAGGGAGCAGAGGCTTCTTCAGTCCTTGTCTGCATGGATGAGGCAGCACCTGCAGGCTTAGCCCCCTCCCTGCCCACCCCCCCCCCCCCCCCGCCCCCATCCCTGAACCAGACCAGCCATCTCAGCAGACACACGTTTGGACAAGTGGCCTCTTTCTGGTCTTCAGCTGCCCCCCGTGGTAAGTGGGGTTCCACTTAGTTTATGCATTCAGCTCTTGCCTGGGCCCCAGTTCTGATAATTGGGTCTCCCCTCCCCCTCCCCACACCTACTTGTTCCCTGGACCCGAGTCTTTGTTCTGTAGGATCTGTCTGGCAAAGTGAAAATCAAATCACATTACTCCTCTGCCTTAAACCCTTCAGAGACTTCTGGCTGCAAGAGAACAAAGCTATTGCCTCTGTGATGACATCCTCACCTCCCCCCCCCCCCCCCGCCTGTGGCCTCCTTTCCAACGCTCAGACATGCCAACTGGGGTGCGCTGCTCAATGTTTAACAACTGGGGTGGGGGGTCCCGGTTTGCCAGTTTCCACAGTGTAAACGCTCTCTCATGGCTGACTTCAGGTTAACGTGCCGTCACCGAACACAGACTTGAAGGGCACGCAAACCACTAGCAAGCCCACTCCCACCTCAGAGCCTCTGCCCCTGCTGAGGCATCTGCTGGGGACCCCTCCCGATCTGTGCATGATGGCTTGCAGTGCCGTGTGGACCTCAGGCCTTCTGTGACCACTGCAGTGGAAAGAGTCCCTTGAGACTTGTGACTGTCCAAAACCACTTGTCCACCACCAGGTTCCCTTCTGCCCCCACCCACCCACCCAGCTGGAATGTGTTCCACGAAGACAGGGGTGTCGTCTACATTGCTCACTGCTATATCCTCAGCCAGGGAAAATGCTGGTGCACAGCAGGAGTTTAGTACGGATTTGTTGACAGATCGGAGGACCCCTGTGGCCCGGATCCCTCCGCCCCCTGCAGCCCCCCAAGTCGGAGTTCAGGCCCAGGGGCAGGGGCCTTGGGAAGCCAGGTTTTCCTGGCCTTGGGTTTTCCACTGCTTCGTCCACCTCACCTGTCAGGTCACACCTGCTCCCCTTGTCAGACCTTCCTCCCCCCACCCCCCAACATACCTGCTGTACGTGTGGCCACTGTACTGTGTGATCATCTGCTCCCCTGTCGCTGGCCCGCCCCCAGGTCCCACCCCTCGCAGCGCCCCCACCTTGTCTCTCTGGACACCCCCAGCCACACCCCCAGCCGTGTGCATTTAGGCTTTGTGTCTCTGGGGGAAGGGAAACCCCCAGCCTGAGACTGTCTGATGGAGCGCCCCCTCTCTCCGCTGGACGCTGACCTCCACTTGGAACTTCTTGTCTGGGGTTTCACAAGCTGTTGTGATTATATTTCTGCTCTGAACGCAGTCAGCAGTAAGGAACC